AAGATGAAGAAGAAGATGCAAAAGGAGAAGGAGAAGAAAAATAAGAAGAAGATGATGAATAAGGGGAAAAATAAAACGACGAAAGACAAGAAGAAGAAGATGCAAAAGGAGAAGGAGAAGATGATGATGAAGAAGATAATGACGAAAAAGGAGAAAGAGAAGACAAAAAAGTATAGGATAAAAAGAAAAGAAAAAGACGAAAGAAAAGGAGGAGATGACGAAGAAGAAGTATATTTCTCTTTTGCATTGAGATAAAAGTGAATAGTAAATACCCTACCAAAAGCTTGCTTTCATCTGTTGATACTCCTAAATTTAGTGGAGATAAACAATGTCTATGATATAAAGATACCAAATCCTCTTTTAAATAATTTCCCATTGACGAATAAACTACCTATAAACAAACGTAATACATTTCAGTTCATTTTTCACCACTTTCAAGCCAAACTATTGATTGGCGGTTTTCAGAACGGCCTAAAGTAAATTAGTCAAAACTATTCCTTTTGTTCTAAAGAAGTTTAAATCTGTTAAGGGTGTTTTGTTTCTAGTTATTTTCTTCAACTTGTCGAAGCAAGTTTACTGACTTGAGCATTGTTTTGTTTGTGTGTGTGTGTTTTTTAAATGCCACCCTCAAATAAGATACGATTTTTAAGATAATCGGGAAAACAATTAGCAGATAGAAACGCAGGGACAATGCATATTGTCGTATATTAAATTTGATCTTTTGGTTCTTTTGTTTGTATTTGGTTTCATTCTTTTAGTTGACAATAGTACATTACGTACCAAAAAGACCCCGACTGTCGTTTGGTCACGTGACATAGTAATGCACGTGAAATATGAGTCATTCCGTAGGCGTCTGGTCATTTTATATCATGAATTCCAAATTCTCGAAAAGCAATTGTTTTTACTGTAACTAAATGGGTGAAATATACAGGGCTGTAAAGTATTTCATATTGTATTTCATGTAATAGTATAAAGTAAAGATGATACATTCATATCATATTTATTTTATATAATTTTGATGTCCATGTTTTCTTTATCTTTTTCAATTTTTATAGACATGTGCATTGTATGTTAATTTAACTGTATTATACCAAGTTTCAGTTTAATTATGTACATTACTTAAATGTGGAAATACATCAAAGTTGCATGTTTATAACATTCTATAACTTATTAGTTTTGTGGTATATAAGAAACCGCCAAATAAATTCAAGAGGTGAGTATTTGATTGTATTTACATTGTTAGCAGACGGTGCGATTTTGTTATGCCGCCGCCCTTCGGTGGCTTAAAAACAAAATAATAAAGTTTTATATGGTTATGGTGCTAAGCAATAAGACAAACACAAAAATCTTCTTTCGGTAGCCAGTGCGGTGCCTTGTCACACATAGGGATCCTTTAGACTAGAGTCCAAAAGTAGAGCTCTGTTTGGTGATGTGCACATCAGATATTGTGGTGCAATTTACGACAAAATACATGTGCATCGTTGAATAGAACGGGATAAAAAATGATGGAACATATAAAGGATGACAACGGAACCTGTTATTGACGACAAAAACATAAGCAATGTAAAAGGGGGCAATTCCTCGAATGCTTTTGCCCATGTGCAGATGGTTCTCTATTTTACTTCAGTCATATTTTTCACATTCGTCTTTGGCTCATTTAAACATGATATTTACGAGAGCTTATGCAAATTTTGATAAAAAGTCTAGAATAATGTTATTATTTCAATCAATTCACTCAAAAACGCCATTATTATCTGCTCGTTTAGGCCCCAGTAAAGATTGTATATCATGATTTTCATAGAATTCAATTAATCAGGACTGACAACAGACGGACGGACAAAAAGAAAAAGAAATATGTTTTCACAAGATTTAACTGTTACAGAATTACTAACTTCCAAATGTCATTCTTGCAAAGACATACTGATCGACGGACGAACAGAAAGACAGATAAACAGTCAGGTCGATGAACAAAGAGACATACAATAAACGGACGGACAGACAGACAGACAGACAGACAGACAGACAGACAGACAGACAGAATGACGGTAATGGGACGGAGAGACAATACGAACAGAAAATTGTATTACTATTATGTCGAAATTTTATATCTTGTAATCATGTGTTTGTTATACATACAATGAATAACACATTTAACATTGTATCACATAATTGAGGATATCTGTCGACAAAAAGCAACAGTTCCTCTGAATAAAGCTCCTTGTCAAACTTTGGGGAAAAAACGCTACATACTCATAGTGACACTCGAGGAGCTCTGTACGGCAACACTTTAAATAGAAAAAGTACACAACACTGAGGGCCTCACAGCACTACAGTGACCAATCAGTCAGCCTGCAAACATTAAACAGACAGAAGCCGAAGGCTTATATTAAATACATGCAGTACAGCCAAAAAATCCATCTGAACATGTTTTTTTTTTGGATATAACATACTTGCATGTCAAATATAAACAAAATATATGCTATGCAGCTTCAAAAGAAATCATGGGGAAACCAATTATCTACGGACAGACTGACGGAAACACCACCCCTATATAAGTGCCAAAGTTCTTCGAGTGTTTAAAAACAGTTGATTTTACGTACCGTCGACTAAATAAACGAAATGAATTTATTAAAAGTACATGTATATTGTATTCATATTACACAATGTACATGTTAAAGATGTAACCACGACAATCACGCATTCCACGAGACAATTCTTCAGCAATGATATTTGTGTAATTTAGTCAATTTTTAGGTTCATAAAACACGCCTACATGTATATAAAAGGGGTGATAAAAAATTCAAAAGAAGAGGCTTTCATCTTTTTTTTATCTATTTATTCTTTTTTTTTTTTGTTAAAATCAAATGTGGAAATTAAAATGTTATTCGGATTTGGTCTAAAGAAAATATTATTATTAAATATATAATTAAAGTATTATTTTGACATGTGTTTATTTGTCGTTAGAAAACAAATCATCATTTCAGTTCTATTTAGGCTATCCTTACCACAGGCGTTCGGCACATTTGCTTTGCCAATACAGTAATGATCAAATTATCATAAAATAATCACCCATTGAACATCAAGAACAAAATTACTATCCAGTACCCGTTTACTATATAAAATATCTTCATTTGATATGATAATATTCAATTTGAGACATATATTCCTAATTATGAGCTTGGAACCATCATCTAACTATTTTCGATAATATTATCAATATTCAATTTGAGACATAATACACGAATTTCTAATTATGAACTTGGAGCCATCATGTAACTATTTCCATAATATTATTACATGTATTCTTTGTAATAAGACAAGTAATAGAAAGAGCATCGACACACGAGGCTTTCTGATTTGTACGATTTCTGCCGTCACAATAAGTAAACCCCAGCAAAAATGAGCCAAACAATGGGAATGTTCTGGAGTGCGGGTAACTAATACCTGCACTCCAGTTAACGCACTGTGCATGTATATGTTACTATTTAACTCTGACACATTCTCAACAGAAAGGTCCCCAAACTATGATACAATGGGCTTTGTACAAGTCTCGAATTACGCTCTTGATAATAGTTCCTATATGTACTTTTTATCAACCCACAAAAACACGTGTCAGCAGTTATATTTTTAAGGTATCTCATCACAGCGGAGCGACATTTTTTTATCAACATATGCTTACTTTCTAATGAGCAGAACAATATAGACCAAGAATTCAATAGCTCTAATAAATAAGTCACAACTCTTTTTCTGAGTAGATTCGTAAACATAAAATCTAACGACGCTCCAGCAACGTCATTTTTTTTTAATGATTTATGGATAACTTGGAGATAAGGTCTGTTCAGAATACAGAATCAATCATTTTATAACCCGTTATATCGTTATAATGGTGATTAACTCATTTAAACATACAAACACAACCGTTTCACATAATTTGTCCAACTTGTCATAGTGGTTACTTCCCTGGACGAGAAAATTCATACAATAAACTGATTCAAATACGCAATACGCTAAGTAGTGACCTCTCTTAAAGAGCCCAGTGATTTGCAATCGACAACACAGCCGAGTATCTTTTTCGGACGAAGTCCGTCTATGATCGGTTTGACTTCCTGTTAAATTTACAAGGAAGAACTGAATATTAGAAGGGTTCTTATTGGTCATTTTAAAATTACAACTGAAATCCAGGAATTTCATTGGCCATTTTAAAATTAGTATAATAATCTGACCAAATTATACAATAATCTATAGGAGTATCGGAAACAAATTTCTAGTTAAATTGAGATCTGTGAACTTCCTGCAAATAAATATTTTTTCACTGTTTTTCATACATTCTATATTCAACATAAGAATTTACAAAGTTATAAATGAGCCTTGTCATGACAAAACCAACATAATGGGTTTGCAACCAGCATGGGTCCAGACCAGCCTGCGCATCCGCGCAGTCTGATCAGGATCCATGCTGTTCGCTTACAGACCCTATAACAAGTAAAGAAACTGATAGCGAACAGGATGGATCCTGATCAGACTGCGCGGGTGCGCAGGCTGGTCTGGATCCATGCTGGTCGCAAACCCATTATATTGGTTTTGTCGTGACACGGCTCAAATGATATTCTTAACTGACGTGTTCCACGGCATGTTAACACCAAAAGCAAGTGAAAGCAGTTTTACCTCGTTCGAGTATCTTTTTAAAGATACGTCTTGTTTAGATTCTTGTTGTCTTTGGAAACGGTAAGAAAGTGTACTTTTGAAGCATGCGGTTAGTTGTGTTTTCGTAATGCCTCTGTTTATTTTTCTTTTACTATTTATAATTTATTGTCCATGCATTGCATTTTTATATTTATATCAAAGTGAATAACTCAACATTTTAAAAATGTTTCGTAATATAGAAAACGACAAGCAATGAATACTATGACGTGAAAACTACCTTAAACAAATAATAGACAATATCAACATGCACGTTATTTTCGGATTTTTCATGCGTTTTGGCGGGAAAAGGCTAACCATGGCTATATAAAGAGAAGCTCAAGACGGGAACGTTATCCAGTCTTCTTGCTTTATCCCTGGACACACGAACATAGCTCTATCAAGGTAAGAATTTTTATAGCGTTGAATTTACAATTTTTTTTTGTTTCACAATTTTATTTACAATTTTCTTTTGTATTTTTACACCATTTTGATAAATGCCTGTTGAGAAATTTTGGCCACCTTCATCGAGTGGATGGTTAACTTTCTCAATTACAATCGTTGGGCACTCGCCATGTGGCCAGGACTAATCATACATGTTATCAAGCAACCTTTTGCTTCTAAAAGCTGCTACCCCACACTTTGTGGTTTAGGCGTTTTTGAAATAAAATACTATTATAAGATAAAATTTTACCACAGACTCGTACATTTTGATAAAACATTTCTTGCCCGAACAAAAACATATTAAATACAGTTTTGTATTTATACAGCAATGTTTATGGTGTTGTAATTTAAAACCGTTGCAGCCTTTTATTTTGTAAATGTTGATTGACTTAAATTATACACACCAATTATTGGATATCTTATCATGCCATAATTTAAAGATTCCATAACACCTTCGCACATGATTGCACCTGTAAAAATTCATTGGAACTGTTTTATATATGCATGTTTTTGAACTCAACACGTGTAAAATAACGTCTTATTTATTTTATTCAACAAATATCTGTAAGCCAGGTTCTTGACACGCACTTTGGATGTAGACCCCGCCTTTCACCGCCCCTGAATATTAAAGAATAAATGATTTGTAGGACAAGTCTGGTTCTTCGCTTTATTTCGTGGGATGAAATTAATTTCAAGATTTTAGAATAAGCAATGGCAAACTTGCTCGCATATTGTTATTCAAAATTGTAACAGTTACTTTATTTAACGGCCCCATAAGGCTATATTACACACATTGCGTGTCACCACACGTGCACCTCTTTCAAAATGCAATACACTTTTTTTCTTATAAACAAAATCGCCTTTAACGTATAAAATTTCAGCAACTCGGAAGATTTGTTTTTTTCTTATTGAAAAGCTAAATTTCTATTTTTTTTCAGATGTACTTTGCATTTGTCGTTCTGCTGCTTACCTCTTATATAAATGCAAACGAAATGGATCCTAAAACATTAGAGGGTAAGTTACTATATTATATTTCGAACTTTAATCTACCATTTAAAGTCCGTAGTGTTATCTTTTTTGCATTTGCAAAGGACAAACATCGACATTTAAAATATTTTTAAAGCAAATTGTATACATGTTTGGAAGATATGCTCTCACTCACGTATGCCATTTTGTTCACTTTACTTATGGAATAAAACATATGAACTTGAAAATCTGGAAAGCCATTTTCAGCAGTCAAGTTAAGTTTTCCGAATTGGTTGGCAACCGTGTATCATTTCCTGTTCAAAATAAATATATATAGAAATTCTAGCTTTGATAACTTCAAAACCATTCAACCGATGGATAAACTTTAGTCTTGCAATCCTATTTGAACAAACTCCCCAATATCCTTGTCCGTTAAATTTAGTTAAACGATATAAGAAATACCGCAACTGGTTTCCGAGTTGATTTCCGAGTATCGGTTATTAGGGTAATAAATTTCATCTTACAGGATTCCAGTCGGCAATATATGGGAACATTATGGCTCACTTGGATGCCGAGTACCAACTACTTCAGCCAGAACTTTTTGAGCATAATCGCAGCATGGAATTTTGCAAAGGACAAGTAGAAACGGCACAGGAAGCATGTAGAATTTGTGCCGGTATAGAATGTGAAGGGTACTGAACAGTATATTACTATGGTCATCCTTATCTAAAATATTTTCACAAATTTATTGAAATCTATGGAATTCTTTCAGAATGTCTCAATTTTGAAATAATAAATGTATGGGAAGCTGCGTTCCCTACTACAGATAAGTACACTATACCTTAACTTAAAAACTGCCAATTTTCATTGACTTGTATCAATATTATGACTTGGTGTAGAATTTAAACTAGATTGCTTTGCATCAAGTCAAAACCTGTTTTTCAATCTGATTTTTAAAGAGACTGTGTAGCAATATTATTAATATTCTGACATCAAATTTGAGTATTGAGTATATTAGATCTTTAACGTAAAAGACCTTTAACGTAAAAGACCTATCAATGTTTTTTTTTTCTTTTGTTCAAAATCAATTTTATAACAAACTTGCTTCTTAAATTTCTAAATTTACTTGAATTTTAATTTCAGGCATTTCGGAGACTGGATCACGGTAATTTTAAAACATTTATTTATTTATTAATAATCAAAACCTATTTTAATCGATGCAGTTTGATGATTATCACGCACATCTAATAACATAAATGTTCCAAGTTCCTCAACTTATGCATTTACAAAGTCATACACATTTTCATATAAAATATAAATAAAATGGCAAAAAGCACTTTATACCTTGACTACACGTACTTCCTAGCATACTGTAACGTGATTAATTTCCGATATGTATTACACTTTAATCAGATTAAACTTGAATTTCTTTAAAAGCTGAATTCATGAAATAACCATTGTACTTGCTATCGCGTTGAAACTTTTTTCAGGGTGGTCTAAGTGATATGGGTGGTTGGTTCAAGGGTGCTGGCAACAGTTTCGTAGATTGGAAAGGCTGGGAAGCAATGGGCGGCTTCTTCGGAAAAGTTGGCAATTGGTTTCAAGGTGCCGGAAATAGTTTCGTCGGTTGGAAAGGCTTTGAAGACATGTCCAACTTTTTCAGCGGTATGCTACAATCTTTAAAAATATACATGTACACTTTTAACATAACCTGTAAAATTATGATATCTTATTTCTGGTTCCGATAAAAATAAATATATAATTAAAATGTAATTGAAAATATAATTCTTGTATTTTACTAACATTTTGTCTATAGTCGGATGTCAATTTTATAATTACAGGAATTGGCAATACATTTTCTAGTGGATTCAATTCGGTTAAAAATGGGTTGAGCAGTTTTGGCAACAAGATTAGCAACGGATTTAGCAGCGTTGGAAATAAAATCGGTAAGTTTTGTATTTACATGTTTTTAGCTCGACTTTTCTATGAAAAGGGGAGCTATCCTACTCGCCCCGGCGTCGGCGTCGGCGTCGGCGTTGGCGTCACACCTTGGTTAAGTTTTTCGTACCACCCCACTTTATTTCAGAAGTATTACAAGTATGGCTTTGAAACTTACCATACTTGTTCACCATCATAACCTCCATCTACAGACAAGAGTACATAACTCTGTCAAGGTTTTTGACAGAATTATGGCCCTTTTTTGACTTAGAAAGTGTATTGAGCTTGGTTAAGTTTTTTGTACCACCTCACTTTATTTCAAAACCATTGGAGGTATTGCTTTGAAACTGACCATACTTGTTTACCATCACGACCTTCATCAACAGACAAGAGGACATAACTCTGTCAAGGTTTTTGACAGAATTATGCCCCTTTTTGACTTAGAAAATACATTGAATATGGGTAAAATCCACTTATTGCCTTAACCCTTTGAGATATTGCTTTGAAACTTTTAATGCTATTTCACATCATTACCCCCATCTGTACGCAAGAGAAGGTAACTCTGTCAAGGATTTGTTTTAAAAATTAAGGCCTTTTATCGACTTAGAATCTTGGTTAAGTTTTTATACCCCCGCACAACAAAGTTGTAAGGGGGGTATACTGGAATCAGCTTGTCCGTCCGTCCGGCTGTCCGTCCGTCCGGCCGTCCGTCCGTCCGGCCGTCGGTTTTTTCTTGTCCGCCCAATAACTTAAGATTCCTTTGACCCTTAGTCTTCATATTTGGCATGGAGGTTAGTCATGATTAGTAGATGACCCCTATTGATTTTGAGGTCACTAGGTCAAAGGTCAAGGTCACAGGGGCCTTGACTTCAAAAAGCTTGTCCGCCCAATAACTTAAGATTCCTTTGACCTTTAGTCTTCATATTTGGCATGGAGGTTAGTCATGATTAGTAGATGACCCCTATTGATTTTGAGGTCACTAGGTCAAAGGTCAAGGTCACAGGGGCCTTGACTTCAAAAAGCTTGTCCGCCCAATAACTTAAGATTCCTTTAACCCTTAGTCTTCATATTTGGCATGGAGGTTAGTCATGATAAGTAGATGACCCCTATTGATTTTGAGGTCACTAGGTCACAAGGTCACAGGGGCCTTGACTTCAAAAAGTTTGTCCGCCCAATAACTTAAGATTCCTTTGACCTACAGTCTTTCATATTTGGCATGGAGGTTAGTCATGATTAGTAGATGACCCCCTATTGATTTTGAGGTCACCAGGTCAAAGGTCAAGGTCACAGGGGCCTTGACTTCAAAAAGCTTGTCCGCCCAATAACTTAAGATTCCTTTGACCTACAGTCGTCATATTTGGCATGGAGGGTTAGTCATGATTAGTAGATGACCCCTATTTGATTTTGAGGTCACCAGGTCAAGGTCACAGGGGCCTTGACTTCAAAAAGCTTGTCCGCCCAATAACTTAAGATTCCTTTGACCCACAGTCGTCATATTTGGCATGGAGATTAATCATGATAAGTAGATGACCCCTATTGATTTTGAGGTCACAGGTCAAAGTCAAGGTCACAGGGGCCTTGACTTCAAAAAAGCTTGTCCGCCCAATAACTTAAGATTCCTTTGACCCATAGTCTTCATATTTGGCATTGAGGTTAGTCATGATTAGTAGATGACCCCTATTGACTTTGAGGTCACCAGGTTAAAGGTCAAGATCACAGGGGCCTTGACTTCAAAAAGCTTGTCCGCCCTATAACTTAAGATTCCTTTGACCCACAGTCTTCATATTTGGCATGGAGACTGGTCATGATTAGTAGATGACCCCTATTGTTTTTGAGGTCACTGGATCTAAGGTCAAGGTCATAGGGACTTTGACTTCAAAAAGTTTGTCCACCCATTAACTTAAGATTCCTTTGACCCACAGTCTTCATATTTGGCATGGATGTTGATCATGACGATAAGGTGTCCCCTATTGATTTTGAGGTCACTGGGTCAAAGGTCAAAGTCACAGGGACCTTGACAAAAAAAAAGCTTTTCTTCTCAATTGCTAAAGAATGTCCTGTCTGCAATGTATTGATTTTGACATTTTCACATTTGAAGCATGTAGAATACATAACTTAGCAATGCACTGACTTAGTAACCTCAGATTTGGCAGGGAGGTTGTCCTTGAGCTCTAAATGGCCACTGTTGATTCTGACAAAGTGGTATGCGGGGGTATTCACGCCATGATAGTGGCAGTTCTAGTTAGTACCAGTCCACTTTTTGACTGAACTGTTTGAGATATTAATTTGAAAGTTGGAATACTTGTTTACAATCATGATTCCCAAACATGTCCAGGAGAAGGTAATTCTGTCAAAGATTTTATTTGAATTATGGCCCTTAACTGTCAATGTTTTGTATTATAGGCAAGCACTAAAAAACTTAAAAAATCTAAAAAAATTCATTCCTATCCACTTGTTCACTTTACCATAAATTATGTCATAATAAAATAATTCTTCACTAAATATCTTAATGCTCATGGCCATTGTTCACTTTAAAAATACAGAGATTCTTGTATTGCCTTTTACTGCAAAAACTTTTTTTATTGGCAAGCAATAAAAAAGTCGAGCGCGCTGTCTTACGGACAGCTCTTGTTGTATAATGTCGGCGACTCAATTACAATTTTGAAATATTGAATGTTTGACTTTTTCAAACTGAAAACCAGTTAGCAGGTTGAATGGTTAAATCTCTCGTTGGACTTTCAAGTAATGTAAATGCGTTATTTCCCTTTATTCGGTTTCAAGATCGGCTGTTTTTCATTCACATGAATAACTAGGGAGATATTCTACATTTTGCTATGCCTAATACATAAGTACAGTATCTTCATATAAATATTTCCTATGATACAGGCAATGGTTTTAAAAAGGTAGGCAGTGGATTTAAAAGCGTATTTGGAAGACGCCGTCGAAGTGTTAGACGCGCCATGATGGTTCATAAACTACGAACAGTAAGACATCGTTACATGGCCAAGAGACAGCAAGAACTTGACGAACAAACGAGACAATGCATGCAAAAATGTACCGAATGTACACCATTCCTTGGTGACCAGACAGCTTTAATTGGAGAAGGTAATAAACCTTTTGAAAAATTTGTATGCTCCCACACTGAAGTCATTGAACCGTCCATCACCCCAACCCAGTTATTATACCAATGTTTTTGTAAGTTTAACACACTTGTTCACCAGTGCTTTAAATAGGTTTTTAAACTATTACACACAAGTATCTATTGATAAATAGATGGTCATTAACATGGGAAGTCAAAAATCGAAATTAAACCGGAAGCTATTTCTAAATAACTTGTAATTATATAATTTTTTCGCAGCTGTACCCGATTTTTTGACTTGGCTTAAGGCACATTATGCTACGGAAATCAGGATGCCAACGTTTGTTTTAATAAAAGATTTAAAACGAATAAGGTCGTAAATGTAGCACAATGTAAACAATTGGCATGTTGACCTCCATACAAAATAATAAATCACTTATAACGGTACGGATTTCCAAGTAGCAAAGAAGCAATATTCGGCTATAGGCTCCGAGTACTTTTATAACATTGTTGTTAAATAGCCGAGGCATAAAAATGATTAGGTACATTCCAAGCTGTAAAAGTATCAGATTTTCTAATTTTAACTTCGGGAGTACTTTTGTTTGATTCCCCCTTTAACATTTTAATACGACTATTTCTCAACCCAATTCAAGGTATTCACTTCAAATATAATTAATATCCAGAAATTAACATATGATATTTTAAATAGAATACCACCAAAAAAAAGTGTTTAACTAATAAAAAACTTTTCTGTTCAATTTACACGCTAATTTGACAAATATTGATTTCAGTTTGTGGGGATGACATCCTATTGGAAGAGGCAGCTATGACGGAATTGATGTCCAAGATGCAGGCTCTCTATGTTGCCAATGGCAATCCTCTTCAAGGAACAACGCCTATTATCTCTAAAGTAAGAATACCATAATTTTAAAATGCATTCTATTGTGTTTAAAGTAAAAAGATCCAAGTTAAATAGAAATGAACATTTTAAGATTACATTGGTAGCTTGGTCAACATACAAATTATCTGTTTTGCCAAATTCTAAAAAAATATAAGTGCCCCCTCTACCTATTCGAATTCCGACTTTTAAAAATTTTTTACCCCTT